CGGGGACAGCTGTATAAGCCTACAGTTAGACAAGAGACAAGTAATGTTAAGATGTTAAACAATTCTCAAGCGTGCAGTAATTTGTCTCTGCTAAGCTGTTTTGGTCCCACATAGAAAGGTGGAAATACCACCATGAAATTTGTCTTTGACATCAAAAGGAAGGAGAACGTGTCTTCCAGAAAGCAGGAATTGCTCCAGCACTGTGACCCTTTCTGCTCCCTGGTTTTCCTGGCTGCACAATTTCTGCTGAGTCTGTATCCACAGGAGCACAAGGGGGTCCTCCGTTGTGAGCTGTAGCCTCCAGTGATGTTGGTCAACACCAGTCATGCTGACTCATCGCTTTTCCAGCCTCCCTCTGGAAGCGGTGTGATCCACGTCAGCCAGGACTCCTGTTTGCGGACCCGCTTCCGTCTGGGCAGTTCCCAGGACTTAAAGGAAGCCGTCTTCCAGGGCAGTAAAACCACACCTACCTGCATAACATTGCTGAGATTTGTCTAGGGGTTAAGAGAAAGCAGAAAAATTAACATTTGCCAGGATTTCAAGGCAGTGCAGAGCACCAAGTAATCCCATGCAGTCTTCTTCCCCATGACTGTCCTAGAGGGCTGGTTGCACCACAGCCCTGTGGAGGAGGCAAATACATGGCAAGTGCTCCATGTGTGCACACCTTGCTGGTCCAGGCCTGCCTGCAGGGACAGTGGCCTTGAGGAGGTCTCAGCTTGCAGGACAACAGGGCAGTATCACTGCGATAGAGACCCAGAGGAGGGAAGATGCAGGAGAAACCACTCTCCCCGGATTGCTGTCACCTCCACAGATGACAGCAGAGCCTAAGCAATCTCCGCACTCAAGACCGCACTGAAAACGGCTGATGGAGCCAGCCTAGCTTCTCTTTAAAGAGTCTGGACACTCCAAGAGAGAGAATAACCCCCCCTTTTTAATCCCTTCACCCATGAGTCTGCATTAGAAAGAAAATGTATCCAAGAAAGCTATCCCTTTCTTTAAAGGGTCCTTCTTCACATGCTCCATCCCAAGGGCTGCCAAAGGTGTCACTGCATGAACAACTTGGTTCAAAGAAGGAAAAAGGATGAGCAGCACCTGCGAGAGCTTCCATAGAGGAGAGGCAAGAGGAGCAGGTACTTCTCAGTCTGAGAAAGGGAGGAGTGAGGAGGAGGAAGAGAATATCTGTAACAGCAGAAATGAGAGGGAGCACGAGGCGGTCGCTGTCACGTGGCGGTCAGGGTGGCTTTGCTGGCAGGATGCTCCCCTCTGGTGCGCAGCAGGACCTGGATGTGGCTGCAGGTGCTGAGGCCCCCTGGGATGCCGGGTCCTGGCATGGAAAGCCAAGGGGAGCAGCTCCGGTGCTGGAGGGGGAGGCAGAGAGACCAGGCACAGCGTAGGCCGGGGCTCCAGGTGACCTGGTCACAACATCCCGAGGGTCTGGAGGCCACGGGAGTGGACCTGGTGCGGATGCAGAGCAGGGCCCCAGCGCAAGCACAGCCGGAGCAGCCAGCACCGGCCTTGGGAGCCCAGGCAGCGCCGCAGGACAAGGCCGGACGGGTTGGCGGGTGCCCAGCGCCTGCTCCCACGCAGCCCACGGACAGCGAGCGGCGAGGCAGAGCCTCTGGACCTGGCATCAGCTGGCAACTAACTGCATTACCAGCCAGTCCCTGCACGAGGAGCCCCAACATCTCCCAGCTCCCTGAGCCAGGAGAAGGAATTGGCTCCCCACAAGGGGCTGTGGGGAGGTGGGGGACACGGACCTCGCTCCACACTGCAGCCGCCCCAGCTGCCGCCAGTCCCATTGGGGCAGGCGTTCTGCAGAGCCGTGGAGGAGCTTCCTCCTCCGTGCTGCAAGTCACGTAGCGTGGGGGGGCCCATCCTGCATGGGGAGGGCAATTGGCAGCATTCACAGCCACGCCGCTGGGGCCAAGTCTCCTCTAGGTCTGAAAGCTGGTTGAATACATACATGCATACAGATATACATATATATATGTATGTATACACATACTATGAGCTACAACACAGATAGGAAATACAAGAAACGCCTCTTCTAGCAGGCATTGCTCATTCCAGCTCTTCTTTTGACTTCTGGTCTCCACAAGAGATTCACTCTTACAAAGATCTCGTTTTCCTCCTCTGCCTTTCATCTCCAACTCTCTGGAGTGCAGAATGTCTCTTACCACAGGCCAGGACAGGACGTGGCCACCACGATTCGTTCATCCCTTCATCTTCCTTGCATCTGCATTAAGCCTGTGGAAAGCAGAGACTTGCCAAGATCTGAAAGCGCTAGGGGTGTTTCTGTACCTGCAACTATAGATACCCCCTCACAAGGACCGATATTGCATGTTGGTCATTAAAGGGGTGTGGACCGATGTCTCCCTAGCAGAAATACCAGCACGTCCCCCTGCCTGGAAAGGGGTGAAGCAGAGCCGCCCACCCCGGCGGGACGTGTTGTCCCCGCTGTGTACACAGGCTCGCGCCGCTGGGCCCATGCGGCCACCCCGCTCGCCAGGGCAAAGGGCAGCGCATGGGGACAGCCTGCTCGGAGGCACCACGGCTCCAGCGTCCACCCCCAGGCCACGAGTCAGCCCCACAGGATGCAGCACCCCGGCACCGGCTCTGGTCCTGCAGGTGCGAAGGGAGGACGAACAAGAGGCAGCATTACCCAAGGAGAGGGACAGAGGGGAAGGATAAGATCCCTGTTTGCCTCCTCTTCTCTGGGATGAACAGGGCCAGCTCCAGCCCCAGCCATATCGATATGGGGCTTCGCTCCAATGTGTTGATGTCCTTCTTGTGCTGGGGAGGCCCAACCTGGAGTGGGGATGCAGAATAGAGGGGCAAAAAAGTAGATCACTTGCCCTAGCCCAGCACTTCACCACTTCTAGCCCAGCCCAGGACAAGGTGGCCCCTGTCACCACGAGCCCCCGCTGCTGCCTGCACCTCCCCAGCCGGGCCGGTGGGAAGGATGGGGAGGCCTCCAGAGCTGGGCGCTGCCTCCATGGCTGGCATGCCAGCGTCCCCAGGCCGGCCTCCCTGCTGCGGCGATGGC